ATTTGTTACCTTATGTCTCGATGATGTATAATAATTTTTACAATATAACGTAATTAAATTTTACATTATTTTAACTAAAAGATTATCTAGACGGATATATTTTATAAATGCATATTAGGTTGATTTGTTATATACGTATGTATTATATAGCATTTCCAGGGTGTTTATATCCAAATATATTCAGATGTTGGGATTAAATACCTACTTATTAAATACATTTTTCTATTTATCTGATAAGTAAACTTCTAAACTTAACATTGCTGTGGGTAGTGGAGAGGAACTTGCCAAAATACTTGTTAGATCAATAAGTTATTTTCACGCACGTAACTACAAGTTACAAATCAAATAATTTATTCATATAGGACAGTTTATGATCGTTAAGTATTTTTTTTTATTATTTTACATTAAGAAGAACTGGCAATAAACAGAACTGTTTTTTTAACCAGTTTATTTACATATATAATGTAAATAAACTGGTTAAAAAAATAGTTTAGCTTATATAAGTGTCTATGTGTAATATTAAATGACAATCCTGTGAACCATGCCACTATTGCCATGAACGTCATTAAGTAATCGTTAGTGAGTAATAGGCTTTGCTCAATGAATATCGTTTGATGTTTTTGCTGATGTTTTAAATTTATTTAAAAGTAACTTTATGTTAATAAAAGAAAATTAATAATAAAGTCTTAGATGTATGTTGTTGCGTAAGAATAATTCATCTCGTACGTCTTGATAACAATATATCGTTATTTATCTTGAAAGATAAAACAATGATAACAAAGGTGAAATTACCTACTACCTATTATGACTTGTACTGTGTGCGCTGTATGGTGCGGGTGAGAGTTGCCTGTATTTGTATACTAGAATTATCTGGCTGAGTTAAATTTAAGTTATTACATTTAACAAATTACGAATATGGTACAGTTGAAATACTAAGTCATAATTTGTAAAACGCGGTAACTAAAGAGTGAAACGGAAGGGTACTGAAACTGTCACCGCACCATGCTATATCTCACATGGTAGGTATAGAGATAAAAAAAGGAAGTAGAATATACAAATCTTATCACGCGGTATTGTTAATGAAGTGTTTTGATAATTGATATTAATGATATATTTGGTACTAGCTGTACCCGCGACTTCGTCCGCGTGGCATTTTGCAACATTAGATACTTTATTTTTTTTTAATTAAAGTAGCCTAAGTTACTCCTTATTACATGAGTTACATCAGCTGCCATTAAGTCCCAAAATCGGTCCAGCCATTTCAGAGATTATACGGAACAAACATTATTTGAGTGTACCGTATTTATATTCATAGCATGTAGTAAAAAACGGTTATTTCAATATTACAAACAGACACTCCAATTTTATTTATATGTATAGATTAAACAGACTATATTGGTTGATAAGCTAACAATTTTGTTACGACTGTAAGTTTAGTCGTATTGAGACATGTCTTCTTTTCTTATCCGAATTTTACCAACATATATTCTACACCAGTATTTTTTTTTTTATATGTATATATTAAACAGAGCTTTTATTATTATTAAACAGTTGATAAGATAATACATTATTTTAAATGGATACCAACTGACTCCGCAACTTTGGTGAAAATTTGGGATTGTATATAACGCAAAATTTACACCCCTATTTTTTTAACAGCGGTTTTAATTTATATGTCAAAATAAATTAAAATCCAACATATATTCTACACCCAAATATTTTTTAAAAAAAATAATGAAAAAAAAAAATATTTGGGTTTACGACCCTTATCAATTAGGGGTATGAAAAATAATTAGTAGTCGATCCTCAGACCTACTAAATATGCATATAAAATTTCATAAAAATCCCTCAGTCCGTTTCGGAGGAGTATGGTAACTAACATTGTGATATGATAATTTTATATATAACTAGCTACTCACCGCGGCTTCGTACGGGTTACATTTATTTTGAAAACCCTCATATAATCATTAAAAAAAAAAACCGCATCAAAATCCGTTGCGTAGTTTTAAGAATACATAGGGACAGACAGCGACAGCGACTTTGTTTTGTACTATGTAACGATAATGATTTTAATCTATACATATAAATAAAATAGGAGTTTGAAAATTGAAATAACAGTTTTTTACTATATGCACATGGATGTAAATATGGTACATACACCAAAATAATATTTATTACAATTTTTGTATGTCTGTCTCTCGGTTTGATCCGGCTAATCTCTGAAATGGCTGGACCGATTTTGACGGGACTTTTTTGACAGATAGCTTGTGTAATAAGGAGTAACTTAGGCTATTTTTATTTTAGAAATGAAAAAAAATTCCACGCGCACCAAGTCGCGGGAATTTTTTTTCATTTCACAGCTAGTATTTTATAGATATAGAGACAAATAAAGATGATTATTATTATTTTTAGGGCCGTCAAGGCACAAGGTGACATCCCTTGTATTTCAGACATCCGGCAACCGTTTACCATCTGATGGTAAACAGTTACGCTATAAATATTATTCAATTTAGTTGATCTGAAAAGCAGTTTAGCTCTTGGCTTGATTAAATTTGATTAGACTTTTTGCTTTTGCAATAGCATATGAATTTAAATGAATCTATTATTTGAAACATGTACAACATTTATTTCAAAAGAATACGAGATGAGATTTCACATATCATAAGAGCCTGTAATAGACCTACATGAATAAAAATATTTTGAATTTGGAATTTGGCTTATTTTCGCAAAAACATTTTCTTAGGAAAAAATACGAAAGTATTTTAAACATATTTACTATACAACAACAACGAGTAAGAGTAATAACTTATAATGTAACAATAAATAGTCTATAAGTAATAAGCCATTGTAAAAAACTACCTAAACAAATTAGGTGTTCAATGTTACGTAATATTAAGCTCTTTGATACTTTCCTTCGCGATGGTAGGTTCTACGACTATGCAAATTAAAAAAAAAACTAATTATAGTTGCCATATTTTCAAACGTGTTATGAGCACACATAGGTATCTATTACGCAAATGTCCGTGTATTTTTTATGGATGATAATGGAATGGTGCAGCCGTCTGTGCTAACGGTTTATGCCGGCGGGGCACCAGTGGAGGACGATAAGATGAGCATGTGGTCAGGTCAGTTAGCCCATCATGACAAGTCCACATTACTAATAATCCCCCGTTTATCCCCCCACTGTTCGTGTATTTCATTTTGAATACCACCATTTCACTCGTGTGTCGTTAGAAAAAACTAATTTGAAATGGCTATAAAAAGTAAACCAAATAAATCGATAACGATGACCGCATAAAAATGAAATTAGAAAAAAAGTAAATAAAGTAATTAATAGTAAAATGTGTACTGTAAATTTACTAAGTTAGACTTTTTCTCTATTGCATGATACTGGTATGGTTTTTTTCTTTTTTTTTCGGACTACTCTAATGCTATTTTTGACGATAGGGAGCGAGTGCAGATGGCATTTCCAACCCGCGGAAGGACTTATGGAGCGGCTGAAGGCCAACTCCCACCTGACGGATACGACTTTAGTCTGAGGGCACTGTTAGGGTATCGAACCTCGGCTCAGGCCGTCGTAATTTCGGTCCCCGTTTCAATTGGACGGGGGATCAATCGAAGGGGAGAAGGTATGGTGCACCTGTCTGCGCTAACGGTTTACGCTGGCGAGGCACCAATGGAGGATGAAAGGATATGGATATTTGACGTTAATGCTCAGGAATAGCAAAGCACTAGTAGTAACACAGTCGTCATAGACCACGTGATGTCAGTAGAGTTGTACTACATGTATATTAAAAGTAATAATAATCTCAGGACAATTCACAGCGCTATCTAGTTCCAAGTTAAGCTAGCTAAAGTTTGTTTATAGATGACTGATACAAATACATAGATATATGTATTTTTCGTAACTACATATTATACATAGAACACATCAAAACCGATACCAATAATCATACTTATGAATATAAATGTTTGTACTGTGTGAGAATCGAACCCGCGACCATCGGAAGTAAGGCGGGTTGCGGAGGCCATCAAACCATTTCCCATCAGGTAGACCGTTAACTTGTTTACCAATCCAATTGTATAAAAACATATCTATTTACATAAATATAACGAGGAAAGAAGATAATATCAAATCCTTGCCAAATGTTGTTTTGATAAAAAATATTATTTGTGTCGCAAAATATTCCTAGTGATTGTGTAGCGTATATATACAATGGAATATAGTTTATTAGAAAAAACATTTTATTGTTATTGCATGTATTATTGTTATCTTTATAGTGACACTTTTATAGTCAATTTTACGCGTACATTGACAAAATTGTATAAACAAGTGCTAAAAAAAACTATGTCAGAATCGCGAACATATGTATAGACAGAGTAACATGTAAACATATACCAAAAGTGTATGGTCTATGTTTGCAAAGACCGCAAGTAATTATTCAGTATATGTGGGAGAATATTCACTGTATTGCTTTCTCCCTCAAACTACAATAGAATTACATGCTACGACGCAAACATGTATGCACAAATATGCCGTTTTTTTTATGAACGTTAATGGAATGATGCACCAGCCAGTTACCGTTAATGCAAACGAGTGGATCATTTCATTATCATGATTTAAAAAAAAACACGTGCCAGTGGAGAATATACAGCATGAGTATGAAGTCACTAGTACCCATTTCTAACAATTTCCTCTTCCTTTGCTTGGCATGCATACATTTAGCACAATTATAATCGTAAAACCTTCGGCACTATATTCTTTCTATTTTACATTTTATTCGTACATATTTTTTTATACCTAAATTTATTATTTAATTACTATTCTTTCTGGTTAATACCGAGATTAATATATCATATTATATTTTAGAATTAGAAAGAAAATAATGTGATAATACAAAATATCTCTGATACTTTAAATATTTTACATGGTAACATTTTTTATGTAATCTGTGGTAGGTTTGCTTGGTAGATTTTTAGTTTTTCATAGCTGTCATCACTGCCACTGTGACGTCACTTGTAATCGACTTACGACATCTTTTTAGACTTTGCATTAAAATGGTATTCGCCAGGATTTCATAGTGTTTCTACGTTTTATAGTGTTTTTGAACATTCATAGACTTTAAATTATATCAGTGTTGTATAAATTTCCGTCAGTGCGATGGACAGTTTTTAACTTTTGTGAAGGCAAGTGATGAAGGATAAAGAAAATGGCTACCTTCGAACGCATGTTGTTAACCAGGAAACATCTTAAGATTGCTGACAGATACAACGTTATTCGTAAAATTGGCGGTGGAAGCTTCGGAGATATATTTTTAGCGATAAATATCTGTGATGGAGAGGTAATTGCCATTCATAATCATATATTATTTGAGCCATACTATATGGCGATTCCTGTGTCAGGGAGCCATGTATTTCAAGAATTTTGTTGTTAAAATGGCGGTCTGGGCGTATTCTTGTATGAATTATGGTGTTAATTTATGAAATGTACAAAGTCAGAACTGTATGTAGGTTTTGTAGGTTTAATTTTCTTAATTTTACGTAATGATTACCTGCGAAAAAAATATGGCTACAAATGCTACCGTGAAAGGATTTCTTTGTCATAGAAATGAGCTACACTATTCTATTGTCCATGTCGAACTAGAAATTGTAACGTTGTAGACACGTAACACGTCAATGCCTGTGATTTCTTTCATTATTTATGGAACTGGACAAATAATACCAAATTGAAATATTTAGGTCATACAGAAATATTTATTATGCTTATACATTGCGTGACACGATTGTATTGGGGTTGATTACTACATTTGGGCTCACTTTGTTCATTTAAATGTTAATTTGTGTGTGTTGACAGATTTGTACTCTATCAACACAAAAAACTATCATATGTTCAATCTGTTGTTCCCAAAATTTTGTCAAACAATACCATATGCCATGATTATGCAATTTAGCATAGTCAGCAGATCTTACTATACACCTACATTATTTACAATTTTACCACAGAAACTCTAATTAAATTTTATACAACAAACTTTACTTAGTAATAACTTTTGTACTATTTTAAATGTGACTATACACTTCCATTATTTTTATTTTTACCGCAGTAAGTTCAATAAATTATACAATGAAGTACTTAGTAATAACTGTTTTACTACTATATATCCATGATCAGCCCTTCTCAAATGGCAAGGCTATGATTTCTGAAATTGAGCATATTGACCTAAAAAGCTTGCATGGCTGTATTGAAGTTGCACTAAGTTGTTAGCTACTTTCTATATGTGGGTGATAGAATGAATGGACTGTATGTGTGAGATTAAAGAAACAACAGATAAAAAATGGTAAGTACTTATAATGTATGTAGTAACAGTAACAGTGAAAAAGTAGTAAGTGTAAAACTAAAAAAGACATTCATTATTAATATAAAAATAATTATTTAAAAATGTTCAAACACTACACCATAAATACCAAAAAGCAACTTGACTAACTTGTATGGAATTGTAATAACATACAATCATAATTATAATAGATAATCCATCATTTAAACCATCAATTTCTCAGCTCTGCAATAGCTCTGAAACCATAACTTTAATTGAGTGTTTCCAAATTTATTACAATGCTTTAAGTTAGCTTAGACTAATATAAACAATGATGATAAAATTGTTAACTTAGACTGACTTAGAAAATTTTTACTTTGTGACAAGCATATATTGCTACTGATGTGTGCATATTTTTGTTTGGTATGATGCTGCATATAAAGCATAAATGCCAGAGGTATTACATGCTATTGATAGGGTGCTAAATATAGCTACATAAAGGAAAAGTACTATAATATAAAATTGTTTACCGGGTACACTAGCCAGACCTACTATTATATATATTTTTATTAAAGGTACTAGCTGTGTTTTGTTGGAATTTTTTTCACCTGTATCTTTCCATCAGGTTGAATATAAGCTTATTTGCTTATTCCAATTTCAAATAAGCAAAATAATAACATAACATTGCAGTTCTGTGTTCCATTTTCAAAGTAATTATTATTTAAAATATTTAATTTTTAAGAATATTTAAAGGCTGTTTGTGATCTAAAACAAGTGGGATACAGCCAGTCGAAAATTTTAGTGTGGTCAACCACTAACCACCGACTGATTTATTGTGATTTTGTTGCAGGAGGTAGCAGTGAAGGTAGAATCTATCAAGGCGCGGCACCCGCAGCTTCTCTATGAAAGCAGAGTGTATAAGATGCTCCAAGGGGGCATCGGAATACCCCACATAAGGTTAATATCTCTCATCTTATTCATGGTGATTTTTGAAGGCTTTATTGCATTATTCAAATAGTTTTGTATGTAGAATATAAATGGAAACTCAGTAATTATTTTTATGCTGTACAGAGTAGTATTAAATTTTATAATGATAACAAAAAATGTATTGATGACTTCAGAAATGTATAAATTTATGTATTTTATAATGCAATATATCTCTTAGACCAGATTTTCAATATTTTAACATATGACAACTAAAACAATGTTAGATTTCACAAAGTCCTTGTTGTCATTTAATTTTCAAGTTGTAATGTAAACTTCCAAAACATAAAGTTGTACTTAACTGTTTACTTCAAATATTATTATTCAGACAGTAATAGCGATAGGCAATATAGAATAATTTTTATTTATATTAAATAATATCTTTATTATATAAAAAAATACAAATATTTCTAAATTCTAAATATAATTTTTATGGTTATTTATATAATAGAATAGCATAGAAAGTTCGTTATTCAAATAAACTTAAATTTAAGGACTTTGAATAGTCATATTTTTTGTTGTCAATCTACCGCTCGTTTGGAAAGATGTGTCATCACAAGAAGAACGAGCAAGAAAGTGTTGCTCTTTTAAATAGTACAACTATTTAAAACACTTTACATTTTTTGCTTTTACATTTTTAAGTTGAAATGCGTTGATAGAAACCACCAACTAGCACTAATATATCTATACATATAAATAAAATTGGAGTGCCTGTTTGTAATATTGAAATAACCGTTTTTACGTGTCGTATTTATAAATAGATAAATACACCAAAAAAACACTTTTTAAACATTTTATGTTATTGTAGATAAATAAAGTTAAATTCCACATGGCTTCGTCCGCGTTTGCCTCTCAGTTGCGGCTAGTAAATACTATAAATTTGATAACCCAAGGAACTTAGTAACAAGGAGATTCATTGTGTATGCCAAGTACTTAATTGATTGGCGTGCCACGATTCCAATGCATTGTTTATATATCGTTAGCTATCATTACTTTAGATAAATTTAACACGTTCGTAATAAGGAAGGCGGATAACTATTACAAGGCTGAAAAGTTATAAGCGACATCCAACTGTGACATACAATATGCAACTCAAATGATGTTGTTATAATATATATTATCTACTATTATAAAAGGATTTTTTTATATTAGACTAGCGATTCGTCCCGGCCTTGCACGGATGTATTACAAATGTTTGAATTTCTCGGCTTGTTCTATACAATAACACGCATGTATTATTCATATAAACCTCCCTCTAGAATCACTCGTGATTTATTAAAAGATATAAGCACACAGACACCGGCGGTGACTTTGTTTTGTACGATAGTACAAATATACCGCCTATATTTCAATATAAAAGATAGGCTGAAAATATATATGGCAATTTTCCTTCTCCTTAACCTATCTAAAATGTGTCTGTCCCCCCTCCCCACATGTAACATACATAATTTGGAATATTAACAAATTAAATTGTTCACTTAACTTAAAATTATAGGTTTTAGGAAGATATCACTAAGAAAATGTTAATTAAACACACTTAAGTAAATTTACAAAACATAATAAAAACAAAAGTCTGTTTTTATTTTACAGTTTTGATGTTTTCTCTATTTTGTATTTTGCAATAAACAGTTACGATAACTAAAACGGTCTACGTAGTTCTATTACTTTTATATACGTAATTAGTAGATAACGTTAATATATATTTTTTATCAATATTAGTCATATGTAAGACATGACACTAATAGATAAATATACAAATAATAAACAATCAATATTAAAATTATGTTATTTCAGCTACACGTACGTTTATACGGTAAATTGATAAAAAAACAATGTTCTTCTACGTAATATGTATTTGTGTAACTGGAATGACAAGCTCACGGCCCGCCTGATACATGAACAGCACCACGGATGTCATGTCACCATGTGACGAACTTGTAAACCCCTCCTTGCATTTCCGGACTGTTAACATGTTATGTTACCGTGTCTTGCCATATCATGCCTTCAACGGAAACAAAACGCTGCGCTTTGACCACTGGTGATACCAGTAGTCGTGGGGAAAGGGGACTGGTGTTGAAGATCTTATTGCTAGCAATGTACCCTGTCACTGTTAGGTTAACCATCGTGATAAATTCTTGGTGAATTTGTTATCCTCCACTGGTGCTCGCCAGCGGGGACCGTTAGCGCAGGCGGGTGCGCTATTCGATTATGAATAAAAAAATACCAGTAGTCAGCTCGGTTTGCAAATCTGCTATCTGGTTTGTCTGTAAATCTGGTTTGTATTGGCCTATATGCATTATGTATTTACAAAAAAATGTATTTAAGTATTTGTATTAGTCGTCAAGCACCTATAACACACTTGCTTAGCTTGGGACTAGATGTCGCTGTGTTAAGTGTCCAGGGTCATTATTATTATATTTAAACCAAGATAACTAAATCATAAACGTACAAGTTGAGTGTTATATAGACTATCTGCAGAATCTTTCCTTTATTAGTTTAGATAGATTGACCTTATAGGTCTGTATTTGTACCTGGTTCGTAGGTAGAGCGCGTGGGTCGTATTAGACAGCTTGTCTGTCTGTTGCCCAACAGTAAACAGTAGCACAGTAAGTCAGATTAGGCGCAGTGGTGTCAAGGTTGGTTGGAGTGGAACAGACTATTACAGTTTGTTTTATGACGATTTCTCATGAATTGAAACTCAGATTTTTACAGTAATATTTGCGTTAACTGACTACAAACCGCGACGCTACTCACGTTGAGTCTATGATGTTCGTTGTTAAATAATGTAATGATAAATTTTTAATGCTTTGTATGATGGATTTTTTTAAATTGTTTAATACTCTTTAGCTTTTTCTAATACAAATATTCATACTGATCTTTTAATTAAAAGAGACTAATTAAAGTTTCTCGCTAATATTTATGATGGAAAGAGTTTAAAGCTTTGTATGGGTGATTTTTTAATTTGTTAATATTTAGTATCTCCATATTCAATACAAATATTCTTGCAGTATTTTTTTTCTAACAGCAAAGAACTAGTCGCGCTTTCTTCTTATGAGTCTGCTGTCTGAACGAGTAGTAGAATAAAGAAAGAGTATTCAATACTAAGCAGTATAGTTAGGTTTTATATAGTTATATATAGTTAAGTTTATTTGTAGAAATAATTTTTCTATTCTATTCTACTCTATTCAAATAAACATACAAAGAAATCGATTATTACATCTTTATAATATTAGTATCTATGTATTGGTTTTTTCGGAATAACCTATGGTATCATTTGTTTTTGTGTCGAAAATTATTGTATACAAATCCTTTGTGACTCATACGTGCCCATCCAGTTATGAGTCATAACACAATTGACATGTACCAACACGTCAGTAGCCTTGACAGGTTAGATACACTGGTAGAATCATAGGACGTGTTCTGACGTGTCAATTTATGTCTGCCAATGACCTCTTTGGATCCGTTTCAGCAGTACTAATTTCTTGTTAGTAACTATTGATTCCAATTGAAAATTTCTTTTTGTATTCGATGCCCCATTTATCGAGGAAGGCAACAGGCTGAATAACATTACGTTACCAGCAACAGAATTGGAGCATTAATGAAAATGTTACAAAAAAAAGGATAATTTATTCCTTTTGACGGTTTCCGTTGCGTGCGCTTCGTAAACAGTTATCTTTTATGCGACACCGACGAAGTTGCTCATGTCATAGTTTTTTTAAATAGTTTGATGTAGTAAATTATTTATATACTACAAAAACGGATTTCACTCATTAACAAATCGCTTCGTGTTTTACTGAATATAATATTGCACCATAATTCGTTAAGTTACGTTCTTGATACATTTATTTATCGGTCGGTTTACCGACTGAGAGATGCATCTAGAAGCTCGACGTTCCATATTCAAAATCTTGCATTTTTATTTACGTACCTCATGGCTTTTGCTATCAACAATATAATATGTATATATTATAAACTATATCTATATGCATATATTATTACAATAACAGTTGGCTGACCGTGAGTTTAGCCTTTTAGAGTTTTTGCGAAGCAGTTATGACTATGGGACTGTTACGTATAATGTGCACAAAGATTACGACGTCGAAAGTTGTGCCCGTTGTTATGAAATCGAAATGGAGATTATGGCACCACGCTGTATTTAACATGCACACTTAATTTGCATGAAATATTTCATTTTATAGTATCATAAACAAAATATATGGCTCTTTGGCAGATAAACGCAGAGAAACAAAGAAACGGCAGAATCAATTTGCTTACGCTTTTTGTTTAATGTATATACATCTATATATATAAATAAAATTGTCTGTTTGTAATATTGAAATAACCAAAACGCTTATTTCAATATTACAAACAGTTATACACGCATATATACTACATGCATATGAATATACATACGGTACATACACCAAATTTTTTTTTTGTTTGTTTGTTCCGGCTAATTTCTGAAATGGTTGGACCGCTTTAGTCTGATTTTTTATTAGCAGGTAGCTGATGTAATGAGGAGTAACTTAGGCTATTTTTATTTTAGAAAATTATCTAATTAACTTTTTTGTTAAATTCCTCGCGGACGGAGTCGCGAGTACAGCTAGTGTTCAATAAAATTTACCAAATTTTGACTTGTTTAACATATTAATTGGTTTATAAACACCAGTAGGAACAAATTAATTGGATATTTTTTTTGTATAAACCTATATTAATATACATATTTTGTGTTTATATTTTTTCAAAGCTAACATTGTGATTTTATCAGTGAGTTCTGAACTCTGAAGACTTGAAGCAACCATTGTTGTACCAGCAGGTTGTCTGTATGCTGGCTTGTCACCTTCGTATAAACAAAGTCAATCTGATTAAACCTAAAAAACGCGTTTTAAAGCATTATCTCCAGGTTGCTCCACCGAAATGTGGATTCGACCTTAATTCGCCATCAAACTGTTACAAGGTTCCGAATTGAACAAATATTTTTTCTCTTCAATACGTACTAACTACTTAGTAATTAATTGTTATTATTTTTATACATTTGTCTATGTCACGGCACTAGCGGCTTAATAAAAAAAAAATATCGTGAAGTATAAAATAAAATAGCTGTCGCTGTCTGTCCCTATGTATGCTATCTTTAAACTACGCAACGGACTTTGAAGGCGTTTTTTTTAATAGATGGAGTGATCTAGATGAAGGTTTATATGTATCATACATGTATACCCGTGCGCAGTCGGGGCAAGTAGATAGTTGTTTATATATTACTAGCTTTTGCCCGCGGCTTCACTAACGTTAATTTATCCCCTTAGGGATGGAATTTATCAAAATCCTTTCTTAGGAGATGCCTACGTCATAGTAGCTTTATGCATGCAAAGTCTCAGCCGGATCGGTTTAAAATTGACAAAGTTTCATATAAACTTTCATCCCCTATTTTATCCCTTTGGGGGTAGAATTAATCAAAATCCTTTCTTAGCGGATGCCTACGTCATAACATCTACCTGCATGCCAGTGCGTTGATACCGTACCGTACCGTTTGATGCGTACCATGCCTGCGTCCAGTGGTTTGGGCTGTGCGTTGATAGATCACTACGTCAGTCACCTTTGAGTTATATATATTTAGATTGAAACAAACAAATTTTTACACATCTTTACAAATAATTAAAATTAATGTGTTCTTCGTAATTTCAAATAGACGGCTCTTCATTAAATGTATATGAAAATATATACGGTACTTACATGAAGAGAAGATGAAGACTTCATGGAAATGTTTGTCTGTCTGTCTGTCTGTCTGTCTGTTATTGTTAATCTCTGAAAGGGCTAGACCTTTTTTAACGGGCCTTTCACTACCGTTAGGTAATGTTATAAAGAGTAACTCTTTATTTTACATAATTTTTATATCAGTGGTCTAGTACCAATAACAAGCCTTCCTTAGACTGCAAATAGATGGCGCTGTGTGAATTGTCCAGGGTTATTATTGTGAATGTTTTCTTGGCATGTACTTTAGTGTACAATCAATATACAGTGACAATCGCATCTATTTCTGACACATTTTTCACGTGTGGCCTTGTTTTCAGGGTTCTATTCTCTTTTCATAACATACAAGCATAAATTATATGGTCCGGTTACAATTGAAGTAATTTCGCTCTTGAACAGAGATTATATGTGACGGAAAAGTTACTTATTTTATTTTTACATACATACGTATGATATTTTTTACTATTCAAAGATGTCCTCTCCGATTGATCCCCCGACCAATTCAAACGGGGATCGAAATTACGACGGCCTGAGACGAGGTTCGATCCTCTAGCTGTACTCTCAGACTAAAGTAGTATCCGTCAAGCGGGAGTTGGCCTTCAGCCGCTCCAGACTCCAGATTCTTTTATGAATGATAGTGGAATGGTGCATCCGTATGCGCTAACGGTTTACGTTCGCGGGGCACCAGCGCAGTACAAAATAATAATGTAACTGGCTGCTATTAAAACATTTTTAACAATGTTTTTTAGTTTAGCGGTTTGGCACACCGCTTTACTTTCGATGGCCGCGGGTTCTGTTCCTCACACGGTGTAAATATTTGTATTCATGAGTATGATTGTTTGTATCGGTCTGGGTGTTTACATGAGCATTTATATCAGTTGTCTAGTACCTATAACACAAGCTCTGCTTACCGTGGGATTAGATGGCGCTGTGTTAATTGTCCAGGATAAAAAAAATAAATATTTTTTTATCAAGTATAAAATAGATATAATATGTATGTAGGTATAGTCATATTATGTTCATCACAATATAAATGTTTGTTACAGATGGTACGGCTACGAGAAAGATCACAACATCCTCGTAATGGACCTACTGGGTCCATCCCTCGAGGATCTGTTCAACTTCTGTTCGAGACAGTTCACCATCAAGACTGTCCTCATGCTCGCAGGTATGGCACCATTGTATTGACATTAGGTCGACAGGAGAGATTAGAGATGGATATATATTAGGATTATTTAGGATACATTTAGGATAGGTTAACGTTAACTATGTGCTATATTATTCTAAACCTAACATGCATCGTCACAGATTATATTTAAGTATTGGAATATGTGAGTCTTATATATTAAGGTACTTTACTTGAAATTCCAGTCAAAAAGGCTATGCTATATATATATATGAGGCATAATTCTAGTTATGAGAGTGTTACAGTATGTAATAGTAAAATTAGTAATTTAGTCAAATTGAGAATAGATTAATATTATTTGTTTATAGCCTTACTGAATGTTGAATTACTTTTGATTAAATTTCGACTATTGGGCGACCACTAGAACGACTAAATAAATATCTATATAGAGTATTTATATCAGTTGTACCCATAATACAAGTTCTGCTTAGGACTATATGTCGCCGTGTGAATTGGCTTGGGTTATCATGAAATATTTGCTATTAATAAAGTAATAAATAAGAGTGGCGAACGAAATCCACACCGTAAAAATCGCTCTGTAACAAACGGGCTGTTTTTTGTTTCAAGTTGAACGCACGACCGTTTATAAACAGTGTCGATTGTTAAGCGTAGCCTGAGTCACGATCGTGATCAACAAGATCTCGTTTCCCTCTCTCTCTAACAGTAAGGTCTGGTCGCTCAGAGTTTGTGATGCCGACCCGATGCAAACTCTGAGCGACGGCATGTAACTTTGAACTGACGTACAACATACGGCATTTTTTTTAATATCCGTTGGTTGCCTTATTAACTAATGATAACATTTAATAATTATTCCAACTTACAATAACAATTTTGGTCTAAAATTATGAACTACTTAACAAATATAAATACAATAGTTTTTAAAAGCAAACCACATCAAACTGTTTCAATGTTATGCCAACTGTTTGTTTTTGATCACTACAATTCGATCCCGACCTACCAGAAATGCAAACTCTGAGCGACCGGACTTTAGTAGTGATGCAATTGTAACTGTATCTCTCTGTGGGACTTGCATTTGACATAACGATTTGTTAGGATTAAAAGTAATACAGTTTTTTTGTATTAGCTTGCATCTCGCTGGCTGCTTAATCTCACCACTTCTTGAATGGCATATAAAATAATGCTAACCCACCTGAGATTATAAGCAAGAACCGTCGCCTATATTGAATTAAAATTAGATAAAAATTATTCTAAATTAAAGTAAGTGTACTAACTTATTCGAAGGACTTTTATGACTTATATTAAAATTAGATAAATATTATCGCAAATCAAAAGTATACTAAGATCAGGCCCCTTAAGACCTAGAGAGAGAGACCTAAGAGATAAATAAAAATAAAATAACTCTTAGTTTCACTCGCGGATAAATAAAGATGTAAATATATTACAATGAGGAATCGCGATCGACTAATTACTTTCAAACATTTCTACATTACGTTTATGATATAAGTAGTATTTATATGAATATTATAGAGAATGCAAATATTTAAGTGTATATGTATGCATATGTTTCGGTTCAAGGGTTAGGCAAGGCAGTTGCAGGATAAGGCAACGTTTGAGTCTGGACGTTTTAGTCCTCTAAAATAGCAATGCATGAGCTATATCAGGTTAATAAGTTACAGTTTACCATCAGATGGGCAGTAGGTGGTCAGGTTATTTGCAATTACAATTACCTAAAAATCTGGTATAAGCTTCATGCAAGAACCTAAATATCTTTTTTTGTTATTATTACGTTGAAACATACAAATATTACTCAGTTTATTATACACTAGGCTAACCTGTATCGCGGCAGTACCACAAAAGAATTCCTTGATGTTAGTAACTATTACAGGTTGAGAGTAGAGTACATTTGTCATATAAATCTGTAATGGGTCAATTACGCACGAATAAAGACATAAGTTTGATTTAACCCTATATCGCACTAGGTTAACCTGTATCGCAGGAATCCACAAAATAATTGCCACATGTTATTAACTTACAGATCAAAGGTACTTGGACTTGACATATGTGAGTCCGCAATAGACCCACACAAATGTATTTTAATTTAATTTGATCCTTTTGTAATCTACACCTATAAGTTAAAACTCGTGTTGTGAATCAAATGTTTATATCATTGTTGTTTCAGATCAAATGCTCGGCCGAGTGGAGTTCGTCCACTGCAAATGCTTCATCCATCGTGACATCAAGCCTGATAACTTTTTGATGGGCATCGGCCGCCACTGCAACAAGCTGTACATGATCGATTTCGGACTCGCAAAGAAGTTCAGGGATCTACGCTCGCGCGCCCACATATCCTACCGCGAGGATAAGAACCTCACTGGTATGTGTCGAATGTTATTTTTAAGTCAAAATATTAATCTGTATCTTTACACTTCAAAATATTAAACAGTATAAAATGAAATCGTTTCCGCTGTCTATTCGCTTAGATCTCTTAAACTACGCAACGGATTTTAATACAGTTTGCAGCAGTAGATAGTGTGATTCAAGAGGAAGGTATGTTATTATATGTATAATACATACGTGTTATATTGAATACGATGAAAAATTTTAATTTTTTTCAAGACGGTCTATAGTAAAGCACACCGCTCGACTCTAATCCTCATTACTTGGAGACTATGTGGTTTCCGACAGTGCAGATTCAGAGAGGCAAACATCCGCGTATATTTTTGTCTACAGGCATTGCGGTCATGACGCCCAGTAATATATTATTTTAGGACACTATAGATTATTTTAATAATTATGTTAAGAAAAATTGATTTATGTCACGATTTTATATAGATTAGTATTTTAACAAAATTATCGATTTAATTATAAACGATACTCTTGTTCAGAATGTTACTTGAATTGAATCTAACAATTGGATGTGGGGTATATCCAATTGTTCTTCTTACTTCCACCTTCAGAGTTTATACAATACAATGTTTTGTATAATTTTGCCTTGTGATTACTGAGACTAATATGATTATTCGCTTGCAGGCACAGCGCGTTACGCGTCGATCAACGCGCACCTGGGCATCGAGCAATCGCGACGAGACGATATGGAGTCGCTCGGATACGTACTTATGTATTTCAATAGGTGAGTCACATGACGTCACAGACAATGCTCCTACGACGAGCAACGAAGAATAGATCTTAAAGTGTTATGCATAGGGATGAACCCAAGATTGTGCCTTAGAAAACATTTGATGTGACACTCAGGTGTATATAGCCTCATGGATATGGTACGGTGTTTTGGTAAGATATTAAAATTAAAGTTATAAAATATAATTCAATTATAAATAAAGAAAATCAGTAATGTCACTTAGTTTGTACAAAGGCAATGAAGTGTCGTCTTTATAAATAGTATTTTTATCTTTTATCTACTTCTTTATAAATAAAATTGTAGTGTTTGTAATATTGAAATAACCGTTTTTTGTTACACGCATATGAATATACGATACATACACCAAAATAACATTTTTTACAATTTTTGTCTGTCTGTTTGTTCCGGCTAATCTCTGAAATGGCTGGACCGATTTTGACGGAACTTTTTTTGACAGGTACCTGATGTAATAAGGAGTAATTTAGGCTACTTTTATTTTAGAAAAATAAGTTAAATTCCACGCGGACGAAGTCGCGGGTACAGCTAGTTAGGATATAAAGATAATATTTGTTGTTTTCCTTATTTCGTTTTTGTGTTTGTCTTGTATTTATCATTGAGGCAGTGGTGAGGTGACTGTTAGTATTGCATTAATCCTCGTACTAACATCTGTCGCTTGTTTTGCTAGCACATTATATTCCATATCATTTTATCAACATTTATTAATTTTGTTATTGTCTATTAAAACTGTCATATGTACATCTGAATAATAAGCTTACGTTTTCCTTATAACGTTGTATACATTTATACCGTTAGACAGATTTGAATTTATTATGATTATAGATTGTAGAGAATCATTAGATGTTGGAAGGAACTGTTTTTCGTCATGACACATCAATGCAATATTATCTTACTAATATTATAAACGCGAGAGTTTGTGAGTATGGACGGATGTTTGTTACTGTTTCACGCAAAAACTACTGACCGATTATGATGACTATAGTTAATATACCTCATACATCAGAATAATACATCCCTATAATATATATAATAATATTATAAATGTGAAAGTAGGGATGTTTGTTACGCTTTTATGCAAACACTTCTGAAATGATCATCATGAAATTTTGTACACGTGTTCTTGGAGGTATTAGAATGAATATAGGGATATAATGAACATACTTTTTATTAAATGCGAGCGAAGCCGCGGGTAAAAGCTAGTAGACTATAAATATCACGCGGTCGAACCGCGGGTAGGTACAGCTAGTTTTACATAAATATGTATGTCTGTCAAATGCAAACTCACGTATGCAATGTGTCCTATAAAGTAGAGTTTATTTGATGATAGTAACAGAGGTGCCATGCCAAATTATCGGTACTTTAAAGGACTTTGTTAAAGTCTGCGAAGGTACCCTCGTCTCAACCACTTTAGCAAGTCACAGAACAGCATCTCTGTAAGCAGTGTTAAGATTGGATGGAGAAGAGATTTGGCAGTGAAACTACAGCGTACAGAGGCATAACTTGAGTTGTACTACGGGTAATTCACGATAAATATTGGAAATGTTCGTGATCCTATATATGTATCAAGCGATGGTTGCCAGCTACAACCAAATGTTCCGTTACATTATTTAACTTTCCAGTTACAGAAATAAAACCTTTGTTTATACGTACGCTCTTTCACGAGATATTCGGTGTTCACCCAGGAATAAATGAGTATGTATAACCCTTTTAAAACTGGCGTGCACAATCGTAGACATAAAAAATCATTTAAAACTATTTTATAATTTCCGATTGAAAACGATTATATTAATTTGTTCACTTATAAATATTCAATTTAGTACTACTAATTTGTTTTAAAAAATTTAAGGCAATTTTTTTTATCTTTATTATACTTTAGACGCACGGCATTTACCAAATCTATCGGATGTAAAAAAATAATTCAGGTCTGAAAGGGATATCACAAAGAGAACTAGATCGTCCGCGCGCGTCGCCAGCACCTTGCGTCTTTCAATCGTGCGTGCTCATTCATTGACGTAACTTGACTATGGAGCAAAGACTATAGAGTTACTAGCTGTGCCGGCGGTTTCACCCGCGTGGACCTTATGGCTTGTGTTGTTCTGATGTATAATCTTTATATTTTTGTAACATTTTATTAAAATATAGTCTAATCAGTGTTCAAACCAGTCTCCACAAGCAGCACCCGTTCACGAGTATGACGAGTGTATTCTATGCAGAGATTACTCAGTAATTCCTGCAGTGATATTACCGAGCGTTTTGTTATCTAAAATATACTAATATAAAAAATTTTGTACAATTCCAGGCATTAGAGTCATTGTATATTATGTGTAAATATGTACATAATATACGTTTAAAAATCATATTGCGTATATCGTTGTGCAAACGCTTTTTTTTTGTTTTTCATTTTCTGTAGGTATGTTTTCTCTCAATAACTCGCTTGGTCCTAGGTATTTTAGTCTATATATGTTATATGTTAATCGCATTTATTTTTACCTTCTACGTGCTACTTTGTCTAAGTCCTCACATGTATTGTAATAAAACATGTCCACGTATTTCGTTCTCCCTAATGCTTCGAATAGGTATTTCATGTAATTGGTTAAGCCTTATGATAATTTGTTAAGCCTTAAAGGTAACGGATACACAAACTTAGTTTTTGCATTGCATTTGTGTTATATTAGTTACTAGCGACCGCTCCGGGTTCGCCCGGGTGCAATGCTGGTACTAAATATTTCTACCAACTACAGAATGTCCTTATAAACAACGTTTACAGCTTTTTTGTCATTGGACAGTACAGATGTTTTGTTTAGCGCCGCCGGCCGGGCCGGTACCGACGCACCGCTATGTCCCGTCATTTTAAATCTGTAATATCTTCGGAAATATTCATTTTAATTACATGCTGTAAAGGGCCATATTAATCTATATTAAATGGATAATGTATTTATTAAATTTACTGAATTAGATAAAAATTGATTCTGTGTTGGTTAAAATCTCTTCGTAAATATGCCATTTTTTTCTCGTAAAATGTAAAGGATAAATAGTGGTTTTAAAAAATTGTGGGTTCTCCTTAAGAGATAGGCTTTTTTTTTGTTGACATTTTTAAGGTGTACAATACTGTAGTACATGACTTTGAGCCTGTGTTTGCAATGTGTGCGCCAAAAATGTGTTTATTTACGATGTCAAATTAGAAACCTCTAAATTTATCAGTGTTTACCTACAATATTATGCATGTATTATTAATATAAACCTTCCTCTTGAATCACTCTATTTATTAATAGAAACCGCTTCAAAATAATTAGCGTAGTTTTAAAGATTTATGCAAACATAGGGACAGACAGCGACATTGACTTTGTTTTGTACTATATAGTGATGATAACTTTCTATACAAATCTTTTAAATTTGTAATGTGACCTCAATTCAAGACTAAATATCGATGATATAGCCATGGTACAAAACTAGAGCCAAGAACTAATATAGAGAACTAATTACCTGTGTCCCTCATATCATATAAGGTAGACCATCACAATATCCCTCCTCGTTTATTCCTGGTGAATAACGCTAACTGACTTCTTTCTCATCCTGACGTCATCCACTGATGCCCCGCCATCTTAAAATCGCCAATCATGTACCCCTAGTGGTGGGTTCTCTGTAACTGTATCATTAAAAAATATCATTAACACATTTAATAAGGAAGTGTCGATAATTTGTTACAGGGGATCACTGCCATGGCAGGGATTGAAGGCTATCACTAAGAAGCAGAAGTATGAGCGAATCAGCGAGAAAAAGATGTCCACACCCGTCGAGGTGTTGTGCAAGGTGAGGGTAATTTGATAACATGATTGTTTGTATTCTGGGTGTTTTCTATGTAGATGTGCTTATACTTATAAAAAAATATCTAATCAAATCAAAATATCTTGATTCCTGTAGCCGTGTACAGACTTATGATAAGTTAAATCAAATGTGCTAAGTTTCGTAATGTCATATTTAAAAATCTAATATATCTAAGTATTAAATAAAAAAATTAAAGAACGAATAACTAAACATATTTTTATCTGTAGAAACATAAGGTATAAGGTGTTTTGTTGAGTTTTATTATGCAATAATATGACATATGTGAAGTCACACCAGGAAAGAAGGAGTTTCAAAAATGTAACCGGTAAAAATGGGGGGCGGGGTAAAAAAACATGTTATTCTTGTGACGTAATGTATATATGGCCAATGTAAATGTACCCAATTCATAAGGATGAATTGGGTACATTTACATTTACATTAGACTTGTTAATAAATAAATGTAACTTTGTTCTAGTTTAAAAGTCTTGCGTCACTCAGAACAAAATAACGTTTGTATTTTACCATGCAACCAATTATCACGGCACATTTGCAAGCAAAGTGTACTTAGAATGATTTTGAAGGAACATTTGCGATGAAATTGTGTGAACTTTTCAAGCCAATGAAAGTGTTCGCATAGGTTAAATTTTCATTTGCTTTCTCATAATAGCTATGTTCTAGAAATTTGTAGTAAAACTATTTATAAAGGTATAAATGTTGTAATAGTAATGGTAGACAGTGAAGTGACATACAATTTGATTTATTTGTATTTGATTAAAGAAAAAATAAACTTTGAATATATTATCAAAAGAGTTTCTCAACACTGTCAAATAAAAAGGTATAAAAAAGTCGTGAAGAATGATCAAGCATGAAAGACAAAGCACTTCAAAACATTAATGTTTTCCTATAGGTTTAATTTTGACTTTCTTTAGCATTATATCAACTAAAACACTTAAAAAAGGGCAGTTAAATTATGAGGTCAAAGCCTTGACATTTTAGTCGAATGACAAAATAGAAGACCTAAACACTTCAAGCTATTAAGTGTTCCAATAGGTTCAATTTTCAGTTTCTGTACCATAATGTGAACTAAGTCTTAAAAAGAGCTGTAAAATTATGGGGTACGACGGCATAACATTTTAGTCCTTAAAAACTAACTAACTAACTAACTACTGATTGAGAAGTAGGCCGTCACATGCTGACGTGATCTGTGATGATATTGATGTTATAGCTGATAGTACCACTTTGTGCCTAGTTCCTATGGTTTTATATTTAGTGGGCTAGTTCGCCTTTCCAGTTACATCAAAAATAACTGTCTCTTTAGTGATATAAATTTTACTTTTCTTACCTGTTCAAGACATAATTTCCTATGTAAAAATTAGTATGAATAAACTATTTGATATATTGTATTTACAGGTATAATAAATAATATTTTTTATTACAGGGTTTCCCAGCGGAGTTTGCGATGTATTTAAATTATTGCCGCGGTCTGACGTTCGACGAGTCTCCCGATTATATGTATTTGAGACAGGTATGAATTATATTTTAATTTATGTATCAATGTTCACTGTCTAAGTTTTATAATTCCGACTAATTCTAGAGACGGTTCGCAGCAGTTCTATTAATAAATTCGTGTATAATGTCATGCAAGAAAAGGAACAGATTTTGCTCATTCTTATGAGTGGTAGAATCAAAAGAATATGACTTTAATGAGTGCTATAAAGTGTATTAAGTTTATTTAAATAAAGAATATTCGTGAGTTAGGTGTGACCGAGGTAACAACGTAGACGTATTTACAAGGTGTACCTGGGTTAAGTTAATTAAGATACATAGGTGTGCAGCATCAGATTTGCGTAATACATCTGCGCGCTAACTGATAGCACAACGCGAGCTCGCTCGCTTATATTTATAATCTTGTGTAAGCGGGAGCGCGTTTATATTGCTGTCTCACTCACTGCATTCCACCAGCTGATTAGATAGTATCACATCATATAATTTTCCGTTACATACAACTTACATAGCTGTAATATCCACAAATACAACTAAATTAGTGGTTTCATTACTACATACACTGAGCTACAGGTGTAATCAGATCGTTGAACTCGTGTGTTCAGTTGTTCCGGATCCTGTTCCGCACGATGAACTACCAGTACGACTACACGTTCGACTGGACGATCCTGCGGCAGCGCAAGCAGCACATGGAGGCCGGCGCCGCGCCCGCCGACCGCCGCTCGCCCTCCGTGCAGCGCCGCGCGCAGCAGCAGCCGCCGCAGCCGCCGCCCAACAACGAGGTACTACTACCACTACTACCACTACTACCACTACTACAAACACCAGCACCAATACTACTACTGCTATTACTACTACTACCACTACTACTACTACTGTTATTACTACTACTAGCAGCACTACCTACTGTTATCACTACTACTAGCCGTACTACTACTACTAGCACTACTACTACTAACAGTACTACTGCTACTATTACCCTTACTAGCAGTACCACTACTACTACTACTACTACTACTACTACTACTACTACTACTACTACTACTACTACTAATTACCCCAACGTCCTACTGCTCACGTGTCGTTCAAACTATATATTATATTTATGATTAGCTGCCTTATACGTACGGTCTTTCAAGCAGGAAAGATGCTCACATTGATAATTGACAATGCAGAACCCCCTTCGTCAATTAGTTTTTCACATTAGAGCTGTCTCTTAGCTCTAATGAGAAATCCTTATTATATTTCTTTCCTGTCACCACCACTCTCCGTTTTTAGGTCAAATCAGTGCATGCAACGAACGAGTCGAGCGCTAAACAGCCCGTGAAAGCCCACCAATCCATTAGCCAACTGAAGAAAAAACTCACTACTACCTAACTAAGTCAATCTATACGGCCACTATATTATTAGTTTTCGGTTTACGTTCGTAGCGACCAGAGAAATGCACCAATTGTTCGATATATGAGGAAATTACAAGGTTGATTGTCCTGGATACTTGTTCGTATACATTGGCTTTGATGTTATTAAGTATTTGTACATTGATAGATATTCAAATTACTTCATAATTAAGAGACGATAAGTGCGAACGTCAGCTCAATATCCACTGGGTCTTTATAAAGGTTTTCGATCTAGCAAATAAATATTATATTACTTCATATACTCTTTGAGGTTTTGTTTAGTACGAGCACGCTAAGAGTATTTCACGAAATTTCGTTCGCGTTCATTATAAAATCACTAGAATATATTTAGTTGGCTTTATTATATGCCTTTTTTACTTACGATTCACGGCGTGAAATTAGCGTAAAATTCACAGGTGGATGTACCTGTGAATTTTACGTACGTAGATTTGATTAAATTGATTTGCGAGAAACTTTTCGTTATAGTCAGTGATATTGTGTTATAGAGAGGAATTTCTGTTTATTGTAGTATTGAACTGTTGCATGGTGCATTTCTCTACATAAATTATTGCGCATTCGCAAACAGGAATATAGAAATTATAAATGTTAGTGTCAACTATGAATATAAAGTGAATATTAGTAAATTGTTCAATTTGGTCGATTCGAATAGGTCCAAAGTATGTAGCGTATATAATGGTAGTTTAGAAGTACTGTAAAATTTTATATTATAAGGTTTAAATAGCGATTGAGCGCAGAATGGCATATGATTCAACGTGATTTTGCAATTTAAAGTAATTATATATTTTGTATAACATATTATTAAAAATTGTATAAATTTGAAAATGTATTTCTCGATAAAAAATACAAGAATAAGTTACTATGAGGGAGGTGTTGTTATGTGAATTTTGTGTAAATTAAATTACTTTAATTACTAAAGTTGTTTGACTGAATAGGACGATAAAGGCAGAATTGCCACGGACACCGGAAAATATATAATTATCTGTAGTTATAAAAACAAATTGAAACAACTCTCAATTTGTGAGATATTCAAAGCTACTTTAATAGTACAATTTTGAAGGTATTGATGAATTTTTGATATTATTTGTTAGTTTTACTATAATGTTTAATATTATTTGTTTTTTTTTTATACTACGCAGGTGGCAAACAAGCACACGGCCCATCTTATATTATTATTTGATAGTTTTAATATGATTTTTTATATTATTTGAAAATTTTATATTAGCTCTATTGCGCAAACATTTGGCATTATCTAAATCTCTGATTATTAATACTCTGATGCCTCGATGTAAGGAACAACTCGCATTGCAATAGAATTGTAGCGCGGTGGCTATCCTCATCACTGTAGCGTTATATATGTTGTGATGAGGTGGCGCTACATAATATATTATTTATTGTAGTATGTAGGTAGCGAGTATATCGGTAAAATGATGTACTATTTATTAGACATTATTAACTTTATTGGTAATGTGCTAAATGGCTTATTAATAACGCGTACAGTCGACGCGGAGTCGGGACGTAGACTGATTTTATACTTAACTTAAATCTATGTTAGTGGAGACGTAAACTAATGGACGGGTCTCAAGTGTCGACAGAAATATTACAAGTGTAGGCACAGAATAATAACCGTAAAGAAGATATATTGACCTAGATTAATGCAAATGGGGGATAACGCTGTAAACTCACATACATGTAACAAATATGCAACGTATTTTAATACGACTAATAAAAGGTACTCGTACGCGTTGTATGAAATTGGTGTTATCTATTTACCCCAATTGGAGATCGGCGTGACGATATATATGTATCACATGAACAAGAATCTGTATTTATTCAGATATTTTAGGTGTTTATTGAACTCTTTCATAATATTACGTATTAAATATAATTTGTAATAGTCTTTTAGATTTAAAAATGATTATTTGCATCTCTAGAACACAAAAGAATATGACATAGTATAAAATGCAGAATAAAAATAAATGGCATATGCTGTAAGTAATAAATTAGATTTTGATTATATAATTAGATATCATTATATAGTAAGTTTTTAATATTTACTATTAATTCACCAAGTTTTCTCTTCATTACATAGTATAAAACAAAGTCTGACTGTCCCTATGTATGCTTAAATCTTTAAAACTACACAACGGAATTTGAAGCGGTTATTTTTAATGGATAGTGATTCAAGAGGAAGGTTTATATATATAATACATGTACACCCGTGCGAAGCCAAGGCGAGTAGGCTAGTTCTTTATAAAGTTAAAAGTGATGATTATGTAAGAACCATGCCGAATAAGACAGTATTGCGTTTTCTCTTTTATTATATGAAAATAGTGCCGGATTGATCTATTTATTCAATCTTTATTGAATTTTGTACAATAGGCGGTCTGCTTAGAGTGCAATATACTCGAAAGGCAGATGAATCATTTCACATCGTATGGTAACAAAATTTCTGTAATTAGTTCGTACTCTCATATGTTAGAAGTATTATAAAGAAAACAATTTTTAGTGTAATGGTTATAAATAGGTAATGTAATGGTAATTATTGTCAATTTTCCACAATCCATTGTTTGAAGCAGTAAGTTTTCTAAAAAGATTTATTGATTTATTCATATTATCCCTTATTCATAAAATCTGTAGCATAATTATAACTGTTCCGGGGCCTTTTTTACTATTATTTTAAAAAAATGAGTGAAATTATAAATTTAAAAGTATATTGTTACCTTTTCACAACTAGACAGTTGGACGGATCTTGATGAAATTTTGTACGAAGATTAATTGTTATCACGACATTTATATGGCTTTTATATGTGCAATTGTACATATAAATAAAATTAGAGTGTCTGTTTGTAATATTTATACAAACCGATTTTTACTACATGCATATGAATATAAATATGGTACATACACCAAAATAACATTTTTGACTATTTTTGTCTGTCTATTTTTTTCGGCTAATCTCTGAAATGGCTTGACTGATTTTGACGGTAAATTTATTGGCAGGTAGCTGGTGTAATCTTAGGCTACATTTATTTTAGAAAAAATAAATTTTATTTAAGATAATTATATTTATGTTCGACGAAGTCACGCGTACAACTAGTCTCAAATAAAACTTGACAACGATCCAGCAAATAGCTACTTACTCGTAAGAAATGAACAACAGGTGAATAAATAAAATGGTTTGTAGATATTTGGCGTTTTTATGAATAAGAGTTAGTTTATGTTATTAACACGAACTAATTTTAAGGCAAATAAAAGTATTTACCTCTCTCGACATTTCGACTAGGTTGCATTAGCCCTGGTCACGAGCTGACAAATTTTACCATAAATTAGTTCGTTTTTAAGACCCGGTTAATAGTATAAATAATGTATATTAAACATGAAAGTTTAAAAATAACTAAGGCAGTTAGTTTTGTATACCTGTACTCTTACATAGAGTTCTGTAGATACGTAATATGAATTTTCTTGTTAATATAACTATAACTAACGTTAACATTTTGTTTACAGTGAAAGAGATTACGACGTTCGGCAGCTGCAGGTGGTCCGGCCAAGAAGAGGGCGCGATAGCATATGTTTAGTGAGTGTGCGAGTGTGGTGTGTTGTGCGGGAGTGCGGGTTCGGTGCGTGTCGGCCTTCGAGCGTCGTGTGCGTCCAAATCGCGTCGGATTGTCGTCGAACGGGCGTCTGTAGCCACCAGCGTGCGTCGAACACGGTGTGGACAGCTTTCTTTCGTACTGAGGCCTTTTAATTTACGTCGATAGTGAACTAGAGGCGACAACACTGTCGCCATTATTATTATAAAGAGAATATTGTAAACTTCGGTAATTTAACTTTCTTAACTAATGTCTAAAGATGTATGTAATATAATGTTTAGTTTGTAACGATGAATGTTATTAGGGTCCATGAATTGATGAGCGTTCTCGATAGATAAGTGTAATACGACATTATTAATCCAACGTAACTGTCGAAGCTTTTGTTTGTAGTTGTTAAGGTACCTACATACATATGATTATTGTTAGCGTGTACGTGTGAAAGTGACGACTCTATTGTACAAGGTCTAAAACTAAAATATGAAATTGATAAAACAGTTGAATAGAATTTATTATTTAGGAGTACTAATAGTATCAACTAAATTTAAAACGGGTTAAAATTACTCTATTTTGTTTATAGTGCTCGAATAAGGATAACAGTACTTTTGCTGAGCTAGAATTATAATTTTTGTTTTAGATATAGGTATCTAATCACACGTCAAACTGGTGTTAAAGTAACAGTTTTTAATGGCAATGGGATGCTGCTCTCACATGCGCTAACGGTATACACTGACAGGGCACCAGGGGAGTAGGATAGGATGAATATGAATGAAGTTAAGTGAGGTTGCCCATTGCATGAACAATTCATCAGACAATGACCACGATCGTTTCCAAGGAAACTACCTGGAAGTTGACCTAACATGGTACATTGCTGGCAACACTATCCTACCGATACACTAATGTATCATTTATTTAATCATTATGTATATTACTGTTTCGTATATTTTTATATCACTTATTTTAAAACCAATTATAACTACAAATTTATATTTTTTGATCTAAGATAGGTTATCTTGGATCAATAAATTTAATTTCATTTATGCATTTCCAAATCGGGCAATATGTAGTTAAAATTGAGATAAACCATGACAATTAAGCAAAGGCTGTCGTTAGTTTAACCTACAATACTACTTAATTCGTTCATAACAACAAGATAATTTCAACATATAGACAATGTTTTAACTAAACTATATAGTTTACAGTCCATATGATCAAGATTGGTTTGCTCCAATAAATTTACTGTTAATTTATCGTCTGTCGAGCCGTTTCTTTGGTCATTTAAAGATATTGTATTAATTTAACTAATTTTTTTTGTGTTGTGGCCTTTTGGCATTTAATCAGCAATATGTCAAACAATGATTGCTTTGATATAGTATTCACTTAATGTTCTCCTGAATTATTATAATTAAAGTTACAAGTACTAATGATTAGTTTCTCGTCTATTAAGCAAAGTCTGTTTTGATCATTTACTAAAGTTACTCTGTTGGTTTTTTTTATATCGTTTCTTTACGGTACTGAGTTACTCTTCAATAATCTCTTTAAGTGTATTAACCTTATTGTATTAATTTATAACATGTAAGACAGTGTTCATTTTGGTACAGTACTCAAAGTTAGCATACTAAGGACTCAATTTATATAAATTATTATTTGAATTCGACGCTGTAATGTTATACGTCACATACAATGTTTAAAATGTGATTGTGCTCTGCACGTATCAAATGTATTCACGCATATTCATTGACCATACATTAAACATGTGTGTATGTACCCTAATATTTAGTTTTATATTAGATATTATATTCAATTTATTGTAACAAATACTTGGGTGTCTCAACAGATACACTGTAAATACGAATTGAACGTTGGAGCGCCCGCGTGTATATCTCCACATTATTGTAACTCAATACTGGTTGAAGATGTTCATTAAAATTTAATGATAAAACTAATGTAGGTTTCAAAAAACATAGAAAACGCGAAAAAAAATGTGGAATAAATATGTTTAGTTAAGTCAGTCTGCTATTTCCGTTTCTTAAGAGAGCGGTGATTGTGTCGACCCAATTAACTATAAGTTTTTTTTTAAAATTCTGATAAATTCGTTTTTTATTTTGGAAAGTATAATAATTGAATTGTAAATAAAAGTAATTAACGCTAACACCGCTTTCCTAAGAGATCCGGTACGTATGGTATCGCATATTTTAAATTGTAAATAGATAACAGTGTTCTATACATATTTTATTTTTAGAGCAAAGATTTTGTTTTTTGGAAGGTGACGATGCCAATGCTTCTCACGGAATGACGAACAGCGTTTCACCCCACGAGGGTGGTATTTTTATATGAACAATAGAAACAATGTGAAGCTGGTCATTGATACGGCTATGTGGCGAAACGGACGCCGTACATGTGTATAAATATGGATACATGTATCGTTTTGTACAGTAACTGCTTTAACTTGGACAAGGCATCAATGGAAGATGACATACCGACCCAAAACAATAGGATAAAGGCAACGCAATGATGATAGTAATGATAGAAACCTACTCCAAGCGTAGGTTTCATATGAATTTAAAAAATATTATAGTTGCAGCTAATGGTGTAAAAAATGGAGAATTAATTGTATTTATTCTTATATTTTGTACGTTATATATTTTTTAATATGAAATCTATTTTGAAGTGCTTTCTATTCTGTTTAATAATAATAATAAATATGGATTACTGTGTATATTGTTGTACATACGTATCCATACTGTTTATCTGCACGGCGTCCGTTCGTACGCATCGAGACTCTAAGACGTTGACAACAGCTGATTAAGGGATAAAATTATAATTATTATCAATAATTATATGTCTACTAATATCATTCAACTCTTATACTAGATGTGATTAACTAACAAGAAGTCTATACACTCTATACACCTGCTATATTAGTAATATTAACCCCATTTATACATAAATTTAGCTATTAAACTGTTTTAGACCATGTCTATTTTATTGTGATACTTTTTTTAATTGACAGAAAATAACAAATAGCAGGAATCTTAACAGATTGATACTATATTTTATCAAATCGGATGTTATTTTGTGGAAGTCAATTCCATTAATGGATTTATATTATATTAAATTGATTTATATAGGCGACCAAACTACGTCTCATAGTTTAGTATATATAAATAAATTAACATTAGGCTTCCTAGCTACATCCAAGCCCTCTCGTTTGGTGGCAACACTCGTCGCAATATGCGTGTAAACTCGGTTATGGTCGGAATTTGTTAAATATTACCAAAAGAGGATCGTAACGCTTCCAGTAGCGGTGGCTAGATTTCAGCACTAAATATGTGAAATCAGGCGCGCTATAATGGTTGAGGAATTAAACAAAACAATATAAATCCATTAAGTGAATTAGTACTACTAGCCAAAATACCAGCACTGATACAAAAATATATAAAAAATTATAGCAAACATACATAACAATAATTTGTAAGTGTATATCAACATATAATGTACCTCATGAATTGTTAACACTTACTGCTGAGATATGTAGTAGAAATGCCGGCTGTTTTAAATAGTACCAGTTATATGGACTTTATAGAAATTGAACAGATTTGTCGATCTCAGAACTCGGTTTACTCGAGGTGGAGTCAGCAATTAGTGTTACAATTAACATTTATAATACGAAAATTTCCTTGAGAAATAGTACTGATTCTGTTATTAATATTATACAAATTTTCTACTTATTTGTGTGATTTTTCTTTGTCATGTAAATATTATTTTTAATAAAAACTAAAATTATATTTTTGCGCTAGTATTTTATAACTGTGTACGAGAATTTTATGAACTTTTTATGTTTTCGTCTATTGCGACACAGTAATTTCCCGTACGTAGTTATATTTTATTGTATACTTTAAATTTAGTTATTGTGTATTTGTTTGCCAACGTTGGGGCATAGTCAAAAATGGTTTTTAGCTCTGAATTGTCTGTATACTCTGTTTTCATTGTTCATTTTATAATTATCAATGAAAGCGTTATTTGTTAATCACCTAGTTTCGTTTTATAATGAATTACCGGTTATCGATTATTAACTCGCGATCACTCGTGCGGTTTGGTGGTGCTGGTTTTGAATACCTATATTACCTACTCATGCTACAATATAAAATTTATGATTGATACGAGTGTAACGATGCAAGTGTATTATTAGTCTAATGAATGTAAATAGAACAGTAAATATAAAATTATTTATTTTTAATTTCGGAATTCGCTTTGACAGCGTAACGCGCGAGTGATCTTAGGGTTAACAGCCGGTACATTCGTTTATTACATTTTGTCTACCTACACATTTTTTTTATATTCAATAATGTAAGTATTTGTGCAAAATGAAGAATTTTTGTCATATTTACGGCGAAAAAGTTTATTTTTTGTCAACAAATAATTGATTTTGAATGAGAATAACGTCATCGGGTATTGTCAACGTATTAAAGTGAGCTTATATTATCTGAAAATTTGTGATGCCCTCAGAAAGCATATGTACAACATACTCTCAGTACTAGACGCTTGATAATGTATTGCAATTACAATTGTTATTTGAAACAGATTGAAATTCATAGAATCCGATGTTCGACAGTTACAAACTGGAAAACGTGTGTAAACACAGTGAACTTTATGGTCTCTATGGTATCGGCAACTCTCAAATTCTCATGTAGAATTGTGAATTGATTAGTTTTAATATTATACAAATAAAGTAATTGTTACTGTGTTACATTATCATGTCTTACATATCTACACACTGTACGAAATGTTGAGTCTAGTACAAAAAATGTATACACAAGTCCTTCTGGCGGCATTTCTTCCATGACAAAAAGCAAGATGTCGATTTCAGACTATATAATTTAAGTAATATGTGATCTTGTTTGATTGCGGGAGTTATCAAATGGGGGCAAAATAACGTATGTAGTTACGTCAGTAGTGACTGAAATTGGGGACCGTTTCATGTGATAATATGGATCTCGGTATTCCTTTATTGTTGGTGGACTTATAACGTGCGAAATATAAATATCGTTATTATACCAATCGTCGCTATTTTGTCTCCATGTGAAATGTACTCTTTTAAACTAATAAATTAATAAAGAATTACAGTTGTTTTCTTTCTACATATAGTCCAGACAATTTATTTAATATAGAGTTTTGGATCGGCATGTTTCGGTAGATATTCTTTTACCAAGCTCATACAACAAACATGCTCAATCGAGTCATTTATAATCCATAAATGTCCCTAAATTTTTAGTTCTTTTTAATATAAAGAGCCTTTTTTGTCCTATCATAAGAGGCCATTGAGGCTCTGGGTAAGCTTTAGATCTGGAAGTTATTATAATGGGTACTACACCTGGACGTCTAAAGAAATACGATTATTGTTGGCACGTCCTGACTGGTTAAGATCAGCCTTAAGCAGGTTAAGATCAGATTAAGAGACTTCCGTAAGCGGCGAGTCGATCAGCACTCCCTTTTGAAACGGAATATGGTGTCTCCTCTATAACAGAAGATGAGATCGTAAGTTATTTCAAGAAAACTAACTAATGAAATAGGATTGAAGGTATAAAGACAATTGAACAGGTATTCTGTACCTTGCTTCAATCAAAAATGAAATAAAAGACATTATAATTTTTATACTTTATTTAACATCATCCTCATATAACTTACAGTATTAACAATATATTTTCACATAATGTTTATTAACTCGCTATCGAGCATTGAACACCTAGATCTAACCGTAATATACGAAATACACCGAGCGCCAACAAATTGGATACATAGATAATACTGTATAGGGAGTTAACACATTCTTATGTTACTAACGAGTAAGTATAAAATATAACCAACAATAAAATTGTGATTTCCATCCGACAGTGACACACATGCACGAATAAATATCTGAAATGGGATTCAACAGGTAACGCTAAATATCTACGAAGATTACAATATGGAATTACACTTGTAATTAATTTACAATAATTGTTTTACAAGGTACTATTATAGCTATAAACCTACAATTGCCAGACGCTGTGTACCTACCTATATGACGTGAATTTGTTATATTTAATAAGCGGACTAATCAATATTTTCATAATTATTTACACTAACAAGAATTCTGATTTCATTTATTTTAAAAATTAATAATGAGTGATATATTTCATATTGATTGGTACTTTTTTATTTACCTACCGTTTTTTCTGATACATTTAGAAAGCTAAAGATTACGATATGATTTCCATGCTATAAAATAGTTTTTGTATCATTGCCGAGGAAAGCAAGTATTTGATGTTTTTTTTTTGCCATATTGCATGGCAAAGGTACCTGTACCATACAGCTTGTTTTTCGGTGGGCAAGTACTCGATTGATCTGCCGTTCCGTGACAATATTAATGTAATAATTTATTTAATTAAATTATCTGTATGCTTAATATTGGCCATACAAACAAAACCCTATATCGATCAATCATTACAGGGATCTCATAAAAAGATTAGTCTTAAATGTAAAATAATCTGTTACTAAATAAGATATTTGCTAGTCGCTTTAATATGCTAACTAGACTTTGTTTTGACAAAGTGTATTCTATATTACAAGTGTAACCCTAAAATAATGTATAAAATGACTAGCAACAGTTACCTATAGGTACTAGAGAGACCTATAGCTACTAGAGAGCAAGCACTATATATGAGTAAAAATACGAGTTTTACGTATTGTACAAAATGTCATTCATTTATATATGATTAATTCTATTTTTACATTGATAGTGTTGTCAACCAATAAATAAACGTGCAATTATTGTAACATTAGAAAAGAGACATTGATCTGGTATATTTTTTTATAGAAGCTCAATGTTTCTTTTACGTAGGTTCTAATACTAATAACAGTAAAGTTTTAGAACATTGCAATAATTAAGACTGCATTAACATGTCATGAAGCATATAGCCCATTAAAAATACCTAACGTGTTTATTTAATATTTTGGTCTGTGTTAATAACGATAATACATTTTATAGGTATCTATTGGTGGAAATAGAGATGCATCTACATAAGCAAAACCAAGTTTTACATTTGTATGACATGTAATTATGTAATAATACAAATATTAGTGGGAAACACACTACATACATGAATTTTACATGTATAATTACATTACAAGTTAGTGGAAACACTGTATAAGAATAAAAGCATACAGACATGATTTTAGAATATTATTAGATATAAATGACAAATATCTCAGATATTTTTGCTAATAAAGTCGTAATACGCGGTTTTAAGCATTCAAATATAATGCTACTGGTCCACTACTATATACAAAATATATCTACAATAAATTTTCTTTAATAATTTTTTATGCATGTTTATATTGTAGGTTACTTATATTAGTAATTGATATATAAGTATGCAAGTAAATATTAATATTAGTAGTTTATTAATGTCTACAAACTATGTTATAGGTAATGGGTAATAGGTACAAACAGTAAATTAGTGACCCATATGAAGATATTGTATATGTTACCGTCTGCTAGATATAAGCATAGGAAAAAGATCAATGAAAAATATTTCAAATATTAAACAAATAACTAATCGTATAAAGAGGTCAACATTTGCGTTGTAAGTAGGTTTATTAGTTCATTTAGGAAATGCACTTTGTAGGAACCTAAGTTCTCTTTATAAGTTAACCGCTTTAATGTATTTTATACAGTTCACCTGGTTATATAGCAGTGTTTTTAAGTTCTAATAATTATATTTATGTCCTGTTTAATGGACGATTCGAGGCTGTATAATGGACGATTCACAATATCGGCGGTTGGACAAATAGGTA